TATATGTATATTTTGGAGGCATTGAACATATCAATATTTATTATTATTTTTGTGCATCAAAAAGTCTAGATTTAGGCATTCCATTTTTCAGGGGTTCATTTTGCCCAGATATCGCGCTTGATGTGAAATCTTTTTAACTATAAGATAGAGTTCTATTACAACCTGTTGTCATGGAGTACATTTGGTGGTCTTCATTTGCGATCGATCTCGCGGAAACTTGTAATTTTTAGAAGCATCGTTCCTGCAGTACCGATAGTCCTTAAAGCGGACATTAAAGGGTTAAATGACCTATTTTTCAATACCACTGCAGACGAGTTTTTTGATGAGGGGGGAAGGAGGGGGGGCACTATTTTTACAACACTTGTGTAAATTCCCTCGCGATGATTGCCTGTTTAGAATGTGAATGTTGAATTTGAACACTGCTACGTGCTGTCTTCTTTCGGCATACTATGTAAATAGCTGAAATTGGCACTTTCGCCATTAACTGTTGGTCACTGCACGACGTGGCCGAGTGTTGGGCAATCTAAACTTATCTAACAAATTCGAAGAACTCTCTATCAATAGACAAATTAGAATAGTGTTATTTACATAAGAACATTAAGCATTTCTTGTGACCAAAGCGAATCTGAACAAGAACGGTTTGCCGTCTTCCTTCAGCACTCGCGCTCTTGATTTTACTAATACCGAGTGGTCATCAATTTCGCAGGCTACTCCATCGGAAACGGACATTTTTCTCTTCTTCGTCTTCCTGTGCTCATATTCTTGACCGAGAAGAACTGGTGTCGAGAGATTAGGAATTAACATGCGCGAACTGTCATCTAGTTGTTCAAATTCGGCAGGCAACTCCTCCTGCTTTTCCGTCCTTCCCAGACCCTCCCCCTCCGGCAGCTTTTTTGCCTTAACACAGGAATCCCACGGAGTAAAGTCTGAACATACGACGGAGTAGGACGAAGGAGTGAAGTTCGACCGTTTCTTCTTTATAAAGTCGATCCACTGCTTTTTTCTGACTTTGCTTCAGAACGATTGTCACCAAAGAACAGTATTTTATGAAGGAATATTCCTTTGATGAATTTTGGTGTATTTGACAATCCGGAAACCACACAAAGTGTAAGCATTTTAGTAATGTTTACAGCTAAATTGCTATGTTGATCAACATTCGTTCTTGCTGTGACGTCACAAGTCTTCTCGATCCCAGTTTTTTTTATCCCGGCCAAATCGTTTGGGCGTGTCCAAAAGGCCAACTTTGAAGCGCTATATATCAAAGAATATTTATCCAATCGAAAAAATTTTTTAGATTCCTTCACCTACTATATAAAGACAATCAAAATAACTAATAATCTTCAAAGGGTTTRTAGGGACTAAGAGTGTGACCTATGAGTACATGGGGATGACTTCCAATGACAGCATGGACGCCAAGTGAATTTAGATGTGCTGCTTGATGTTGTTGGAGTTTAAAATAGGCTTTGCTAGRTACTCWGTACCCCAATGCATRAAGACAACTATGACATCCACCTTTGACTGTGAGATTATTATGATTTTTAAATGAGTTGTGGAATTTCATTCAAATTTTTAATTTATTCTCCCTCTGAAGGTATGATCTGCACCAGCTTCCTTGATAGCTACCGCTTTGATATTTACTATATAAGGATGTCTGCTTTCACACAATTAACGTATACTGGTTGTGTTGAGAGATGTTGACTGAGACTATTGCTAATATTACTACTATCAACAATGTCTTCTATAGCTCCATGCGGTAATATTTGATTGGGCTCCTTTTTTCTCAATGCAATTGCTTTGCAGATAATGCAATTGCTTTGCAGATGAGCGAGCATTTTGCTAAACAATATATGGTTTGGACAAAGTTTGCGTACCTGTTAAAACCTTTTACAGTCAAATTTCAACGCTATACTCACAGCATTAGTTTATTTTTGTAACTTTTTAGCACCATGAATGTACCTAAAAGTCGAGGATAATAAGTCGAGGGTGAGGGTAAAAAATCGATGCTCTTAGAAAAATCACCTTTCTTATTGGCTTACTCAGAAATACGTTGCTTCTCGAAAAACTAAACTAGTTTTGTTGTGTAATATTCGACCTAAATACGTTTTACATTGTTGTCAAATGAGCTTGAAAGTAGTATAGAAAAGAGAGTTCTGACACCAAAATTCAGAGGATCATTAGATTCATGAATCCCACTCCCCTAACCTGGTAGGTCCCACTTTATCAAGATCTTTGGTGAAGAAGTGATAACTCTAGATCAAATCAGGGAAGAAAATTTTTATTTATTTCATGAAGTTAGGTTTTCTTTATTATCTATATTTTCCGAGAAACATACATATTTGCCTTTATATTGATTGAAGAAAAAGTATTTCGGTTGAATGTGTGTGTTTTGGATTGTTCGCTTTATTTTGCGTGATTTTCGATTGAGTAGTATTTACAACCAAGTAAATGACGAYGACCTTTTTCGTCTAGTTTTTCAATTTGCTTCACAAGGTCGTCTGTTTTTGAAGTGACCACCTGTTTGATTATTCTTTATTGACGATAATTATTACCGACTCACGTAAAGAACTGGGATTATAAATCTATAGTGGTAAGAGGAAGAACAAATTCTTCGAAAATCTTGCAAGTAGAAAAGATCGATCACATTCAAAAACAGAGCTTGTGATCTAGCTACTTCATCAAGAAGTCGAGTTCAATTCTTTGAGGGGTCATTTCTAGGATAAGCAATGGAAATAATAAGAAGCCTTCTATGTGTACATGCAAAACTGCCATATACGGACTCTTATGAGCTCGCTTGAAATATTTGTTTTATTTTGCTTAATTTTATCCAACAAAAAACTAATTAAAAACAATAGTTGAACAGGTAACCAGTACAAAAGCAAAACTATATTGAAACAACGCGCGCTCATCGTGCCACGATTGTGAAATTTAACAATATGAACCAAATATTCCTTATTTCTTTAACCAATTTAAACTTTCTTCACTGATTTTTCTGCAATGCAATTCACAACGCGACCCCTATTAGGAAAGCGGAAAACCTCTCATAAGTTTGAAGTTCGGGCTTCAATTTCTCTTTTTTTAGACTGCGTATAGGTTCTCTAGTGGAGTCTCTATCCTGCTTTGTC